AGGCCCAGATGAAGTCACAGGCGCCCTGCAGCAGCCAAGCACACTGGACAGCAGGAGAGACAGTGAACAGGGCAGAAGGCTTGCTCGCCAGCCAGGGAGGGTCTTCATTCCTTCGCAATCCCGCAGCTTCTCCCGGGATCACGTACAGTGATCACCTACAATGTCAGACCTTCTCTGTTTTCCTCACGCTCCAAGCCCTCTCCCACCCAGCTCTCAGTAAGGTCCTTGCCTCCTACTTGTCCAAGATGACAATCACCAAGCAGCAAAACCCCAGCTGCCAAGCAGGGAAGTCACCAGCACCCTGACCCACCTGTCTTCCTTTTCCTGCTCCCGCGCATCCCACCTTGGGTCCTCCTGCTCCCGGGAGTCTTACGCTACTGACCAGCCCTTCATAACTCGAGCAGTTCCGTGCATAACTAAATCTTTAAAAATAAATAAATAATAAAAAGTACTTCACTGGGTCCTCCCTGGTGGCCCAACGGCTTAAAGCGCAACTCTACTAAGCTATCAGCAGCCGCTGCAGCATGAGTTTGATCCCTAGCCAGGGAGCTGACCCACATGGCGCGGCAGACCTCTCCTGACCCGCCCGCTGCTCCCCTCAGCAGTGGACTTTGTCAGTCGGCCTGTTCTGCCCCCCCACTCTGTCTCTGGGGAATCCCCTCACCGCCCCTGCACCTCTGGCCTGTACCCCAGTTCTGTGTGCATAAATAAATGAATCTTTTTTTTTTAAAGATTTATTTATTTATTCATACAGAACTGGGGTACAGGCCAGAGATGCGGAGGGTGAGAGGATTCACCAGAGACAGAGTGGGGAGCAGAACAGGCAGATCAACGAAGTACACTGCTGAGGGGAGCAGCGGGCGGGTCAGGAGAGGTCTGCCGCGCCATGTGGTCACCTCCGGGGCAGGCGGGGATCGAACTCATGAGGAAGTGGCTTTAGTTTCTCAATGCTGTGCTTTAACCCGCTGCGCCACCAGGGAGGGCCCTAAATGAATCTTTTTAAAAAAAAGAAGTTAAGGCCAAGCAGGGGGATGAGGTGCTGGGCGGCCAGCAGCTCACGCTCCTTCCTCTGAGGAGTGTCTCCAAACCAAGGGCTGCCCTTCCTTCCGTCCCCTGGTGCGAGGTCAGCAGAGGCTGGACACACCCTGCCTGACTCCCTGCCCCCAGAGAACCCCACCAGGTACTGCAGCTCTTCCAGTAGGCGTTGCCCTCCCACGTGCAGTCGGTGAGGGCAGAGGCTTGGAGGGAGTCACATCAAGGCCCCGGGACCGGGCTTGTCAGGGAATGAGCCAGAAGAGTCCCCCAGCTTCCCAGTGGGATCCTGAGCCGCAGCCTGGACAAGCCAGGCAGGAGATAGTCAAGGTTAATACAGGAGATGCAGGCGTTTGGAGGACACAGGGGCCGAGTCTGGGCCTTGCGGTGGGTAACGAGGCTCTGTAGCCTGCCCCAGCCCTGGTGTGGTTGTTTCTGAGCAGAACAGCTTCCGTCTTTCTTTCCTTTGTGTTTAAGACTTATTTATTTGTGCATACAGTACTGCGGTACAGGCCAGAGGTGCAGGGGCGATGAGAGGATCCACCAGAGACAGAGTGGGGAGCAGAACAGGAAGATCGACGAAGTACACCGCTGAGGGGAGCAGCGGGGGGACAGGAGAGGTCTCCCGCGCCATGTGGGTCAGCTCCCTGGCCGGGGATCGAACTGGCGCTGCAGCAGCTGTGCCAGCTTTAACCCACTGAGCCAGCAGGGAGGGCCCTGCATTGCTTCTCATCAGCATTTGCCTCCTCGGGGTTACGGGGCCAGGCCAAGGCAGGGACTCTGCTGGCGTCACTGGACACAGGGCTGCTTTCCCACAGCCCTGCTCTTGCTCCTCAGCTCCACGCAGGAGACCTGGTCACCCTTCACCCACCTAGCTCGGTCCCTCCAGAGGATTTATTATGGGCTGCCCTGCCGTCTGCCCCAGGTGATAAATCAGGGCAGAGCAGGACACTAGCGTCCTGTGTGGATAATATAAAAGGAGCCCGGTCCTGAGAATCACAGGCTTCAGAGGATCCCAGAGAGAGCTGGCCGGGAAGCATGGACGGAGGGAGCAGAATGCCTCTCTGGGGCCTCCTGCTGGTGATCTGGAGCTCCTGCACCTTCAGTCTCCCTGCAGACACCAGCGCCTTCAGAAGGTAAATAGGGGTGCAGGGCTCCCTCCCTCCTAACACCCCACCTTTCAGATATGTGATGCCAGCCAGTGCTCATGACCAACTGGGCTGGGAGGTGAAGTCCCATTCAGAGAAGTAAGGTGGCGTGGCCAAGGTCCCAAAGCCCATCGGGCTAGTTGGGCAGGGAAAGCTCGCCTCCCGGGGGACCTGCCCTGAGCTTTTGATTCCTGACATAGCCCCGTTAGGTGGGGAACTCAGGAATGATGATGAGCTACTTTCCCTCGGGGAGCTCAGAACCTGGTTGTGAAGGACGGGGTCTGTGAAATCTACCACATTCTTGGTTTGTCTTGTCTTGGTCTTGATTCTGCTCAACTAGCAGTAGCTACCTCTGGAACCACAGGTAACTTGACCTCTCCAGGTCCCATTTTTAAAACAGGGATAACAGAAGCGCCTGCTTCACAGCTGTGCTTTGAAGATTTAACGAGGCGACGGCTAGAAAGCCATCATGATGCCAGGGTATTGTAAGAGCCGAGATGCTGTGATACTCTGAGGTGGGTTATCAGCAGCGTTTGAGCAGGGCTTAGCAGCCCAGAGTGGGCAAGAGAAAGGACAGCTGATAGCCAAGGGTACCAGAGAACAGCAATACATTAGGCTGCAGAAGAGGGGGGAGGCTGGCGGGAGAGGGCTTTAGTAGAGCCTGCAAAATGCCTAAGATTTTTTTTTTTAAGATTTATTTATGTGTACAAAAACTGGGGTACAGGCCAGAGGTGCAGGGGCAATGAGAGGATCCACCAGAGACAGAGTGGGGAGCAGAACAGGATGATCTGAAATACACTCCTGAGGGCCATAGTGGGCGAGACAGGAGAAGTCTGACGCCCCATGTCATCTCTGGGGCTGGGAATCAAACTCGTGCTGCAGTGGCTATGGATAGCTTCATAGTGCTGTGCTTTAACCTGTTGCACCACTGGAGAGAACTCAAATGCTTAGGATGTCATAGGGTTTCCCACACGGCTCATATTATCTTCCCCCAAGTCAGCAGTCCCATTTTACAGATGAAGTCTGTGAGGCTCTTGAGGTCACATGTAAGACGCACACGCTGCCCACACACTGTGCCTTTGTTCCCAAAGTCTTTCCCCAGCTCTGAAGCTCCTGCAGGTAGCGGCTGGATCAGGGCTGGGGGGGTGAGACCATGGTGCTGAGCAGAGCCCCCCACCTAGGCAAAGGCAGAAGGGAGCAGAAACATTGTCTCTGTTCTCTCCAAAAGAGGAAAATTTTCATTCTTGGGGGCAAGGGAGTAAGGTTTTAAAGCAGTCATGGGGTCTTGTCACCTACTGTGTGGAGGGCATCACTTTGGGGACCTAAGCACAGGGCCCCAACCTGGAGGGGCTCCCGCTGACTTTACATACCGAGGTGCATTTAGCAAGCAGCTGGTCTGATCCGCACAGAGGTTCTCGGAGGTAAGTACAACCCATAAACCATTTTCATAGAGGAATTAGTGTGGCTCAGAGAAGACCCTGAGAGGGCCTCCTTGGTGATGCAAGGGGTTAAAGTGCAGCCCTGTGAAGCTATCTGCAGCATAAGGTCAATCCCCAGCCAGGGAGCTGACCCACATGGTGCAGCAGACCTCTCCTGTCTCGCCCGCTGCTCCCCTCAGCAGTGTTTTTTCAGTCAATCTGCCTGTTCTGTTCCCTACTTTGTCTCTGGTGAATCCTCTGCCCTCCACCCCTGGCCTGTAACCCATTTCTTGTATGCATAAATAAATAAATCTAAAAAAAAAAAGACCCAGAGAGATTGGGCAAATTGCTGAGGATCACACAGTTGCTGAGGGAGCCCAGTTTACCCCCACAATCTCTGGCATGGGCTCCGTGAACCCCAGGATGTGCAATGCTGGCTATGAACACTCCAGGGAAATGGAGCCTCAGAGACTTCATCTGTAAAATGGGACCACTGACTTGGGGGAAGATAATATGAGCTATTCAGGAACATCCCAGCAATAGTCAGGTCAGTGGCAAGTAGGGTTCATGAGGCAAGCTTCCTGGAGGTGGGGTGCGTGCTGGACTTTAAAGGGTGTAAGAGCTGGGTTGGGAGAGAGGCGAAAGAAGAGAATGCACAGGCTTTTCAGAGTACACGGTGGACGATGTACCCTCTTTAAGGTCAAGCCTTCTCTGTTTCTCTATTTTCCCACCTGTAAAATGGGAATAATAGAACGACCCACTTCATCTTAGCTGGGAATGAATGATCCTAATTGGAGTAATATTTTGTGAGCAGTAAACGATGCCAAGGACGTGGCAAGTCATTTTCATCAAAAATCATGCACTAACAGGCATGAATGCTTCGCTCCGTTCATGGGCTTCATGGGGACGTGGGTGCAAGGGCGTGGGAAGGCAAGAAGAGCACACACGCAGGATGAGCAGCTGAGAGAAAGAGGGGTTCTCCATAAACTGGGCTGCAATCTTGGGAGCCCTCGGAGGCATCTCCTCCAGATCTCTGCCAACAGTATTCATGCCGGGGCCCATAGCGCTCTCCCTGAGAAACAGCCCAGACACAGCTTTGAATCACTGCTGAGTCCCTTATCCCTGTGAATCTTCGCATATTAATCTGGAAGGCGATGAGGATGACAACGTTTGGGGAGCTGCTGTGGGGCTCGCTGGAGGCGCCCATTCCTGGCAGCTCAGCAGGAAATGTGTTTCCAGTCTCTATAATTCCATTTCCCAAAAGCTATAGAAAGATGCCAAGACAAGTGGATTTAGGCTTGGCAGGCACACCTTTCCTTGGAAAGGATGCCCTCCTTGCCCAGACCAGTTCACTGGCTCCTCTCCTTGCCCCCCAGCCTAACAGGATGCCACCCTTGGCCTGCCAGAGCCGGGGCTCGCGGCTGCGACGGGCATCTGCTGCCACCTTCAGGGTCCACCTAGCACTGCCTCCCGGAGGGGTCTCACCCAGCCTGAAGGGGCTGCCATAGCCTACCTTGCCCCCTGCGGGAACTCCTTAAATCTGCGACAATCTCCATCTTTCTAACACTCAGCAGAGTGCAGGCGCAGAATCTTGTCCAACACCTGAGAGATGAAAGGGAGAGGGGTCAAAATCACAGCACTGGGAAGCTAGCGAGGCCTTTAATACCTTCAAGGAGGCTAACTTAGGGGTCGTGTACGCGAAGTACAGGGACCCTGCCTTCATTACGGGGAAGTAGAGCTCTCCTCTCCTCTGTCTCCATGCTGGGCCAGGATCTTCCTCAAGAAAATGCCCTCAGTCCGGGAGAGCCTGAAGGAGCGAGGTGTGGACGTGGCCAGGCTGGGCGCTGAATGGAGCCAGTTCACCAAGACGCTCTCCTCGGGCAACAGCACCTCCCCTGTGGTCCTCACCAACTACCTGGACGTGAGTGCCTTGGTGCCCAGCTGAGTGCAAAGGCTGGTTCGGGCGAGGTTTGGGTCCTAGGCATCCAGGTCCTGGCCTCCAGCCAGGTGCCCCTGGTGGGCAGGAGAGGGGCCCGCCATGAAGGTTTCTGTGACCAGGCTCAGCTCGGCTTGGTAGCTTACTGCCTCGGCACTTCCTCGGTTCCAGCACCTTCTTGCTCCAGGATTGTTTTGTTTGATTTTATTTTATTCTTCTATTGTCTTCTATTCTATTGTCTTCTATTGTCTTCTATTCTATTCTATTCCATTCCATTCTATTCTATTCATTCTATTTTATTTTGCCCTCCTGTCTCACTTTCTGGGAAGTCAGAAGACATTGTTAATCCCTCCTAGAAAAGGAAAGACTGTGATCTGTTTAATCTCAACCTGAGTGCAAGGGGGCTCTCAGGGGAGGCCCCAAGACTCCGTGAGCTCCTCTAGCTGCCTCTGTCCTCCCCTCCCTCCCCACAGACCCAGTACTACGGCGAGATCAGCATTGGCACGCCACCCCAGACCTTCAAAGTCATCTTTGACACAGGCTCTGCGAACCTCTGGGTCCCCTCCACGAAGTGCAGCCCACTCTACATGGCCTGTGGTGAGCTCCCTGCACCCCCAGTCCTGCCCATGTCCTGCTAAACCCCTTCAGCCACCATTTGAGCTGCTCCCCTGCCCCATCTCTGCTCTGCTGCCCCTGAGAGGGAAACAGGCAAGCTGCCCTGTTTCCTTGATGTGGCCAACAAGACAGAAAGCGAGCTCCAGAGCCCCCTGCCCACCCAGAAGGTGACCCCTCCCTAGTCTGAGACAGGACTAGAGTCTCAAACCTGTGCCAGGCCCTCAGGCTCTGACCTCCCCACCCTTAGTCAACAGCCTCTCGGTGAGCTGCTGACTGTGGCAAGATCGTTCTACCCCACTCAGGGTGAGAGTTACTTTAAAAAGCATTGTTTGAGACAAAATTCCCAGAGCTACCGGAACCAAGAAGCAGTCCCTGATAGATGAAATGCACTTTCCAAGTCCCTGACCTCAGCTCCATCAGACTGCCCAGCATCTAAGACCTCACCCACACATGCCTGCCTCTGAGACACCCCCCAAGTTGCCCCAGCCCCAGCCTGCTCCCTACCCCCATCTGTGGCCTGGGCTCTCAGACAGACGGAGCCTGTGTCCTCCCGCCAGAGATTCACAGCCCCTATGACTCCTCGGAATCCTCCAGCTACATGGAGAACGGGACGGAATTCACCATCCGCTACGGGTCCGGGAAGGTCAAAGGCTTCCTGAGCCAGGATGTGGTGACCGTAAGTGGGGCTGCCCAGGTCATTGGCCCCCTGAAACATGTCCCCAGACCTCTCCTGCCACTCGAAGGGGGACCCCAACTTGGGGCCCTCCCTGGTGGCACAGCGGGTAAAAGCACAGCACTAAGGGGGACCCCAACTTGGAGCACATGCCCTCTGGCCTCTTGTTGCTGGGGTGGCAAAACAGCAGTGCCTGGGACACACTCACATTCCTGGCTCTTTCCGGTTTGTGATTTTGCAGAGATTTCTAGTCTAAGTCAGTATGTGGGATTTGTGCTGCCGACCCCCCTTACCCCCCCACCCCACCCAGTTCCCCAGGCTCCAGTTGAGTCACCTGCCTGACCTGCTCCACCTAGGCTCTTTTTTTTTTTTAAAGATTTATTTATTTGTGCAGACAGAACTGGGGTATAGGCCAGAGGCTTAGGGGCGATGAGAGGCTTCACCAGAGACAGAGTGGGGAACAGAACAGGCTGATCTACGAAGTACACTGCTGAGGGGAGCAGCTTGGGGGGAGCAGCTGAGGGGGAGCAGCTGAGGGGGAGCAGCTGAGGGGGAGCAGCTGGTGGGTCAGGAGAGGTCTGCCAGTGGGTCAGGAGAGGTCTGCCACGCCATGTGGTCACCTCCGAGGCAGGCGGGAATCGAACTCATGCGGAAGCGGCTTTAGATTCTCAGTGCTGTGCTTTAACCCGCTGCGCCACCAGGGAGGGCCCTCCACCTAGGCTCTTAACTGGATATTGACAGCTTCCAGCAGCAGTCAGGAGTGGAGGTGCTGTTGACATTCTGGGCAGCACATGTTTTAGGGCAGAGATTTTAAGGTCACCCTGAGGTTAGAGTCTGGGATCAGTGTCGGGACAGACCTGGCTGTTAGGAACATGTCTGTCTGCCCTTTCCCCACTGGGGTTTCTCCAGGCCCTGCCATGTCAGACTGAGCGCAAAGGTTCCACATGGAAACCCAGAGGAGACCAGTGTGAACACTCACCCCTTGTCTGGGAAATTGGGAAAAGGAGCAGGATGGTGGGACCTGGCTGTGCTGAGGAATCCTTAGCCCATGATGAGGGGACCAGGCCCCAGCCCTGCCCATGTGAAAGCTGAGCCTGTGGCGGGGGTGGCGGGGTTGGGGAGAAGTCCTGGTATCCTTTCCTCTTATAGCTTAGCAGAACCAGCTTTTCAGCTGCTGCCCCTTTCTAGTCACTGGGTAACCCCAGTTCTCTCTGGCCCCCAAAGCCTAGATGCATGTTAGGAAAAAAGGATGTGTGTGGAGTTAATAAACTGGTCTGACCCCAAGTGGCTACACCCTGGGCTGGACCCCAGTGTGGAAGCACAGGCTGGACCTGGCCAGTGGCCTTCGTCACCTAGGGCCCTTCCTCCCACAGGTGGGCGGGATCACGGTGACGCAAACATTTGGAGAGGTCACGGAGCTGCCCCTCATCCCCTTCATGCTCGCCAAGTTTGACGGGGTCCTGGGCATGGGCTTCCCTGCACAGGCCGTCGGCGGGGTCACCCCGGTCTTTGACCACATCCTCTCCCAGAGGGTGCTAAAGGAGGACGTCTTCTCGGTCTACTACAGCAGGTGGGCCTGGGGCCTCCAAGGTGGAGAGTGGGGGAGAGCAGGGAGGGAGTTTGGTGCAAGGGTCTAACGTGGTCCTGCCTAGATGGTATTCAGTCGCTCGCCATCGTTGCACTGTCCCTTACTTTAAATTTAAATTAATTAAAGTTCAATAATTTTTTGGTCTCGGAAGCCGCATTTCAGTAGCATGGCCATCACATGACTAGCGGCCACTGTGTGGAAGCTACTGATCTCCTCCTGCAGACCCCAGCTTCATCACTATAGAAAGTTCTACCAGACAGCGCTTTCTAGAACAAAAGGGAGTGTGGGGTGCTGGGAAGAAAGGCATTACCTCGACCTGGATCCCTCCCTGGGACTGAGAGGGGATCCTCTCACACAGAGACAGCCAACTACGTTCGTTCATTCATTCATTCGCTCATTCACTCATTCACTGATTCAGTGCCACGCACTGTGCAGGGTCTAGAGGTTCAGTCCTAACAGTAAGCAAGCCAGAAGCCCGCCCCACGGAGCCTACAGCCTGGCAGGGAAGACAAACAGTACCACATGTGCCACTTCAGGGAGCCTAGGGCTGAAGCCAGGAGTCGCCTCTCGGCTCTAAGCCAGCAGCTTAGTGGCTTTGGGGAGCGTCGGCTGCTGCGCGGAATTGTGATCTGATCCAAGCTGCTGCACTTAGGAAGATGGCATGAGAGGGAGGTACAGGAGTGGTCTGGAGTCCAGAGAAATCTCAGTGGTCAAATGGCAACCAGCGTCTGGTTTGGCGAGAGAGGGAACTTTCAGAAAAGGTTGCTGTGGGGTCTGCAGCTGCGGCCATCTGTGGAAGAGCTATTTTAGAGGCCAGAGGCCAGCAGTTCAGCCGTGGATGCAGGGGCCAGGAGGGCGGGCATAGGCTGCCTTGAGAAATTCAGCAGGGAAAGGAATGTCAGGTGGGTGCAGGCAGCCATGCAGAGAGAACAGAGGAAAGAAAGGTGTGCTGAATGCTAGCGAGCAGGTGGAGGCAGAAGCCAGTGGAAAGTCAGAAATTGAAAATGTGGACGAAAAGAGAGAATTGAGGGCCAGGAGCCTGGGGGCCATGGAAGAGAAGAAGATCCAGCCAACAGGAAGAGGGGGGACTTGGAGAGAGGGTCTGCTCTTGTTTTCCCCTGGGGTGAGAGGAAGGTAACATCCAGAGATCAGAAAGTGTTGGGAGAGGGACTGGACAGAAGGGGCTGGACTGGTACATCACATAGGCTGGGCGTTTGGAAAGTGCAATTAATTGCACTTGCACAAATAACACATGCACATCTACCCAGCTGTGCTCACACGCCTATAATGAATGCTGGGAAAGCACATCACACACACACACACACACACACACACACGAAACCAGCCCTACGGCCGACCTTGCGCTGTGGCAGACAATGCACAGAGGTGAGGAAAGTCAGGGGATCAGCTTTGGCCCCAGCCCCCACATGCCACCTGGAAGTCTTGTGACTCCATGACCTGAAAGGTAAAAAGGGTACACAGACCCACTTTGCCCCGCAACAGGCTGGTGAGGCGCCCCCAAAACAAGGGCTCCCCTAATACAAAGGCTTGCTTTCTGCTGTGTCTCTCTGCAGGAATTCCAAGTAAGGAGACCGGAGTTCGCATGCAGCCCCGACCCTGCAGAACACCTGGCCCAGAATCACAGGCCACCTGCCCAAGCCAGGCTGGGAGGGATGCCTATGCCCTCTGCGCCTCCTGCCGGCTTGCCTCCTGCCCCTGCCCTGCTCACCGGACCCCACTGCCCCCCACAACCCTCCCATCACCTGCCTTACCCTGACCTCAGAGAGGGTTGGGCCAATTTGCATCTTATTTGCATTCTGGTCTTGGGTCCTTGTGCCTGTTCCTTTTCTGTGGCCCCACTGGAGCACTTATTATGTATAGTTGGACTGTTCATCCCTCCCAGCCTGGCAGGAAAAGTATGTTCTGGTGCTTCAGATGGAGCTTCCCAGCCTTGCCACCCACCTGTTCTCTTCCCCCATCCTGCCCCGGACCCAACTTCTGGCTGTGGTCACTGAGTCTTGGAGGTTTCCGTCTCCAAGAGCCTCTGATCTTTCCCTTAGGAATTCCCACTTGCTGGGGGGAGAGATTGTGCTGGGAGGCAGCGACCCTCAGTATCACCAAGGGAATTTCCACTACGTGAGCGTGGGCAAGACTGGCTCCTGGCAGATCACAATGAAAGGGTCAGGAACGTTTGCCCTCCCATACGCGACATCGTGCTGTCCCTGGGGGTGGGCTGGGAGGGCAGGGCCACCCTCCTGTGCTCAGCGCTGCAGCCGCTGAAGACAGCCAGCATCTGCTCTGGACCTGCTCTGTCCAAGGACGGAACAGGGAGGCGTGAGGAGCAGCGGGAGGGGCCCCTGAGAGGAGCCAGAGTGTGCTCAGCCGCGCGCTGGGGAGAGGGCTGCCCTGTCCCACCAGCTCACGCTGGGCGGGTCCCAACACCACTGGACCAGTTGCATGGCCTCACTCAGGAAAGCCCTGCGGCACAGGGGTGCTCACCACCTCCGTCTGACTGTGGCCTCCCCCAGGGTGTCCGTGAGGTCGGCCACCCTGCTCTGTGAGGAGGGCTGCATGGCGGTGGTGGACACTGGAGCATCCTACATCTCGGGTCCCACCAGCTCCCTGAGGCTGCTCATGGAGACCCTGGGGGCCACGGAGCTGAGCACAGATGAAGTAAGAAGCTGGTGGGAGGAAATGGGGTGGAGGGAGCCGCGTAGTCCAGGCCCTGAAACCATCCCTGGGGTTGCCCTCCCCGCCCCTCACACTCTTCCCCCAAGGGATGTGGTCCCCCCACAAAGGACCTGCGCCATGTACCCCCCTTTCACTTCCCCCCAGTATGCCGTGAACTGTAACCAGGTGCCCACACTCCCTGACATCTCCTTCCACCTCGGAGGCAGAGCCTACACCCTCACCAGTGCTGACTATGTGTTACAGGTGAGTGCCAAGTCCACCCCAAGTGACAGGGGGAAGGGTGGGCAGTGGCCCCCAAAAGGACAAGGCATCATGCACAGATGACATGTGAGGCCAACACCCCCTGGCTGTGAGAGTCAACTGGAGGGGTGGGGGTTGCAACATGCCACACTTACTAAATAAGAACCTCCGGGGGTGGCCTGTGGGCATCAGTGTCTCCCAGATGCCCAGGTGATTCCAATGTGCAGCCAAGTTTGGGGATCGTTGTGCTCACCCCTTAGCTCCATGTTCTCATCAGAGGCTCCCGGGAGTGCTATGCTTTTCTCCTTTTTATATTTGATAGAAAAGTCAAATAACCAGTCTAGGAGCCACGCGGTGCCAGCTGCCTTGTTTTCTAGGTGTCCAGTACAGTGCCTGCATTCAGGAGGGCTTGGACCCAAAGGGCCAGGATGCTGTGGGGCCTAGGCGATGGGGGGTGGAGGGTGGGGGGTGCTGTGGCTGCTGGGGTCAGGATGCCTATGTGTGGGGAAATCTTGCTTCCTGCCAGGACCCCTACAGCAACGGCGATCTGTGCACTCTGGCCCTCCACGGCCTGGATGTCCCACCACCCACCGGGCCTGTCTGGGTCCTGGGCGCCAGCTTCATCAGGAAGTTCTACACGGAGTTTGATCGACATAATAATCGCATTGGCTTTGCCTTAGCCCGCTGAGTCTGCGCCGCCCTCGCCCAGGGCCAGAGCACTCTGTGCCCTCACGGAATGGGGCTTCTCCCCGACACTTGTCTTGTGCCCAGCACCAGCTCTCCCCTGCTTTGAGGACAAAGAGAATAAAGTGTACGTGTTCACACGTCTCTCGGGCCTGCCTTCACTCGGGTTTGAGACAGGGACGCTGTGTGTGTGATCGTGCACAGACAGGAAGGTGATACTGAATGACATACTCCACACTCACCTGCAGGCACAGGTTCCTGCGTGTAGGGGTGATGCCAGGCCGGGGGAGAAGGGGAGTTGTTTACACAACCATGGGTGGGAAGTTTGCTGTCTGGCAGTGTCTCTATGCCCCCTGCAGCCCCTCAAGGATGGAGCTAAGCCCCAGTAGATGTGGAAGGCCAGCCTGCACTGCAGAACTCGGCAGCCCGCACCCATCCCACCGAACTGTAAACACACCCAGCCTAAGGCTTCACCTCCTAAATGTGGACCCCGCCAGGATCCAACCCATACTCTCATTTAACATGTGGGGAAGTCGAGGCTCAGAGAATGAAGGCATTTTCCCAAAATGGCTGAGTGGGTGTGAAAAATCAAGACTGGAAGCCAGTCGCTCTGACTGAGGCGCCAGGGCCTGTCTTCCCACCTTCCTTTGTACAGCTGTACCTTCACAGGTAGCGTTGCACACACTGGTATGGGCCACACACACAAGCCATGAAGTCTCCCACGCGTCCTATCTGCTCCTTGGACAGTCTTCAAGGGATGTGTACCCCGGGGGTTCCACCTGAACCCACTGACACTACCCCTTTCACGCTAGCTGCCCCCACCTCTGTTGACCAAAAAGGGTTTTGAGTGGTGTCAGCGAGAACTCCACCCACTCGCTGGGTACAATGAGATTCCACAGCACCCCTACCCCAACAAGCATCACACCAGTGTCTGGGGGTGCAGGACAATTGGATTGGGGGTGCTCCCTGCTGGGAACCTCACGGACAGGAGCTGCCTGGCAGAGTCCCTGTGCAAAGTCAAGACTGTGAGGCTTTACACAAGACCCCGCCGTCCCTGTCTAGTTCCCCCGATTCTCTGACATTGCTGCTCGCCTGGCTTTATTTCCTCAAAGCAAAATGGAAGTACTGGAGTCACTGTCCAAGGTATACGTGTCCAGCTGATATTTGGGGTTGGTTCCATGACTTAAGAAGACAGGTCCCCCATCATCTCCTTTGCTGTCCGATGTGATAGTCACCAGGTGGCTATTTACGTTGAAATTAAAATACTGCACTAGCCATATTCCAAGTGCTGGACGGTCACAAGTGGCCAGGGCCACTGCACCGGACAGCACAGCTAAAGGGCTTTTTTGTTAGGGTAGAAGTCCCGTGGATTCTGGACAGCAATGACAGAGTGCTGGAGAATGCCAGGTTCCTGAATAGGCCCAAGAAACAACTCCAGGTAACAGAAAAGGGGGGCCCTTCTGGGGCACAGTGAGAGCTCTACCATCCACTCATTGGGTACAGTGAGGTTCCACGGGCACCCCTACCCAAGGAGCATCACACCAGTGTGTGTGTGTGTGTGTGTGTGTGTGTGTGTGTGGTGGGGGGAGGACGACTGGATTGGGGGTGCTCCCTGCTGGCAAGGGCCTTGGCCAGATAGCAGGGGCTCCCTCAGGGTCTTTTCCAAAAGTCCAAGCACTGGGGGCAGGGGACTGTGCCAAGTGGAGGCACCAGGCCGGACCTCTTGCTAGCAGCCCAATCTCCAGACTCCGGGAAGGGGAGCCCAGTGGGAACCCTGCTTCAGGTCCCCAGAAAGAGCCCTGGCGGGAAGGAGGGGCCACCTGGCTACCTCGCCAGCAGCAGCAAGGACAGGCCTCCAGGACGGGGCCCGGAGCCTGGGACCCGGTAGGGGCGGGGC